ACGAGCTTTTTGGTGGGTGACGCGCGGGAGCGGCTTGGTGAAGATGTCGGCGAGATTCTCCTCGGAGGGGATTTGGACGAGCTCTATCTCCTTGGCAGCTACACGTTCCCTAATGTAGTGATGGCGTATGTCGATATGTTTTGCGCGTGCATGTCCCTTGGTGTTGAGTGATAGGGTGATGGAGGCGGCGTTGTCACCGTGGAGGACAGCGGGGAAGGTTTGATTGTGGCCGACTTCACCCATGAATGAGTACATCCAAAGGGCTTGTTGAGCAGCACGCGTGAGCGCCATGTACTCTGCCTCGGTGGTGGAGAGGGCGACAGTGGGTTGACGCTTCGAGCTCCAGGATACAGGCCCACCTGCTAATGTGAATACGTATCCTGAGGTCGATCTACGCGTGTCGATGTCCCTGGCGTAGTCGGCGTCGACAAATCCAATTGGGTCGAGGCTGGCGCCGCGGTTGTAGGTGATTTTGTAGGTGAGTGTGCCCTTGAGGTAAGCAAGGAGGTGGAGCATTGCTTTCCAGTGTGCTGGTCCAGGTTTTGCCTGAAAGCGGGCTAGGACACTGAGGGCGTAGGAGATATCGGGGCGCGTCGCGACTTGAGCCCACATGCAGGCGCCGAGGGCTTCGCGGTAAGGTTTGTCCGCCATGAAGTGGACGTCCTCATCCGTCTTGGGTGAGTCGGATTCAGATAAGATGATGCCGGAGGGTAATGGGGTGGATTTGGCGTTGCAGTCGGACATTCCGAAGCGTTCTAAGACGCGACGAATGTAAGCTTCTTGGGAAAGAGAAATCGCACCCGTGGTTTCATCTTTCTCAACCCGGATCCCCAGAATATACCCAAGGTCCCCCACATCTTTTATCTCGAAGCACGCCTCAATCTCCTTCTTCGCCTTTTCTGCTCCCTCCTTTGTTGTGGACGCGCCAAAGATGTCGTCGGTGTAAGTGGTGGTGATAGTGTGTTCATTTTGAATGATGCGGGAGTGGACGCACGGGTCCGCGAGTGATTTGTAGTATCCCAAAGATTCGTATGCGCCCGTCATTTCCGTTTGAAAATCGTATCCCCCCTGCATCATACCGTATAGGGTTTTGACGACCCGTAAGACCTTCTCTTCCTCCCCCCGGACGACATAACCCGGCGGTTGGTTCATGAATGTCGTGAACTTGTTAGTACTGTAGAGAAAGGCGGCGACGATATCTACCTGCCAGATGTGCAAGTCCATAGCAGCTGCAATTGCAGCGATCATGCGGAAGGACTCTAGGCGTACGACAGAGGCGTACGTCTGATCATAATCAAGTCCTGGGATCTGAGTGTGGCCTTTGGCGACGAGGCGCGCCTTGCGTTTGATGATCTCTCCTATTGCGTCATACTTATTAGCATAGACCCACATGGAATCAATGACGCGCGCATCTGGAGGTGCCTCCACCAACTCGAAAACACCTCTTTCCTTCAATATCGCCCACTCGGTATCCATGGGTTGTTTCCAGAGATCAAGGCGCGTGATTGCCTCCCAGTAGCTCCGCGGGATCTGAGAGTCAGGGAGTATGGTGTGAAGGGCCGTTGTGTCTGTAGGTGCTCCAGTACCTAGGACAGCAAGGCGCGCAGAGCGCCTTGGGATGGGAGGTGTTTGTGCGACTGGTGTCGTGGCATCTGATGGGACGCTTGGGACAGCGGGCGTGGTTGTGTCTGGGTGTAGTGGGGGATCAGATTGTCGAGGGCGTGGCGCCAAAGGTTTTGGTGGTACGATTACACCTGTGGTGTCATTTGTGACTTCTGGAGTAGGTGCTTGTACGTCGTCGCCGTCGAAGGTAGACTCGGGGATGGATGTGGGTGCGTTGGAGATAGTGCGATGGCCTCGTCCTTCCTCAAAGATGACGTCACGACTTTTAATAGTCGTGCCTGATGATCGATCCCACAACTTGTACGTCCCCCGTCCGTAATAGCCGATCAATACATACTTGATCGATCGAGGCATCAGCTTCGATATGCCTATCTCCTCCGGTATCTTGGCATACACCGTGCAGCCGAAAGGTCGAAGGTGTGAGACGTCCTGACGTTTGCTCGTCCATTTCTCAGTGGGTATCTGCGCAGGGTGTCGACTGGAAGGTATGTAGTTCCCGGTGTAGATGCAGAAGGAGGCGGCGTCAGCCCAGAGCGATGGGGATAAACCGGAGTCGGCGAGAACACAACGTGTTCTTTCGATGATGGTTCTCATCCCACGTTCTGCCAAACCGTTCTGACCGTGTGCGTATGGGGCACTGAATTCCACGATGATACCGTGAGTGGCCGTGTATTCCCTCCATTTCTCGTTGAAGAACTCGTTGCCCATATCAACCCTAATCCGAATCAGCTTCTTTCCAGTCTCCCGCTCTGCCCTCGGATGGTACTCTGCGAAAGCGCTGAGGGTCGTGGCACTCGACTTCAAGGCGAGGAAATAACCAACACGGTAAGACGAGCCTCCATCATTGAACGCCATCATGTACTCAGCTCCCCCAACAGAGCGAACACGTGCTGGTCCCCATAAGTCGATGTACACCCGCTCCAATACCTCTGTCTCAGGTTCCACCACACTATCATATGGGCGCGTTGTCTGCTTCCCATAGATGCAGTCTTCGCATCGCCCTTCGGGCTCAGCGCCTCCTTTCGTGATGTCAAGACCATCGACTAACCCCCTCTTGGCCATGTCGATGATCGAGCGGACACCGACATGTCCAAAACGTCTGTGCCACATCTCGAGGTCTGTGGGTTTGTGGAGGGAGCGCGCTGCAAGGGCATGTGTGATAGGTGGGTTGGGCTCGACACGGAGGAGGTACATCCCATTGCTCCCCGTGCCTTTCATGAGTGTCCTTTTCTGACCATCATGGATGTCATAGAAGGTTACTCCCCCACTGCCGAATAATGCCCAGCAATTCGCCTCGTCAAGTTTGCCAATCGAGACGAGGTTTGCAATGAGGTCAGGGGTGTGGACTGCATGTGTGAAGGTAATGGTGGTCTTCAGCACTCCAGATATGATAGTTTTGGTGACTGCGCCATGTCCGACGATACGGAATTGTCCCCCTTTGTTTGCGGGCTGGCCTTCATCAGGTTGGGATAATGCGTGGTAGGTGGAGAAGTCTGATCGGTTTACAAAACAGTGTTTATTTGCTGCAGAGTCAGCATAGGTCGGTACATCCCTCTCTCCTGGTGTGGTAGTTGCGGCTAACGCATGGGTTATGTAGGGCGTATGTGCGGACTCTTCCAATGCGAGTCCGGGTACATTTGAGATGAGGGCGAAAGTAATTTCGGAGGTAGGTGAGGTGTCAGTGAGCGCTGCTGTGACTGACGATGTGTTCGCGTTAGCGGTACCCTGGGTCGCAGAACCTTGTCCTCCCCCACGCTGTCCGAAGCCTGCAGGGAACTGTCCCTCTTTCCCTCCGCCGCGCCAATAGCAGTTCGTGATTAGATGACCACGACGTCCGCAGTTGGGGTTAGCGCATAATAATTGGCTTCGTGGCTTCCTCGTGTTAGTTTGGAGAGCCGTAACGACCATGGAGGAATTGGTGACAGACTTGGAACGGTCAATTCGATTCCAATGAATCATTAATCGACTGATGACTTCCCCAGATGACTTGGCCTCGTAAAGCGTGCCGACGACGCTATCCCAGGATTCAGGTAATGAGGATAAGACGATCATGCGAAAATCCGCGTCGCTGATTTTTGCACCAGCGTTGTTTGCCATCACCCACTTGGTGCGCAAGTTGGAGATATGGGTTGGGAAATCGTTTCCGTCGGCGAAAGCGGTATTACGGAGGTCGCGTTGGGTAGTGACAATGGCGAGGTCAGACGAGATTTTATATTGGTCCGTGAGTGACTTCCATGCTTCAGCAGCAGTGCCATCAAGCTTAAGACCAAGACCGATGGCATTTTTAGTGTTATAGAGGAGTAGTGCACGTGCCCAGGCGTCGCGCATAGCCCACTCCGCACCGGAGGGGTTTGTGGAGTACCACGGCGAGGGATCGTCAGGAAGTGGGACGTTTGTTAACGCCGGTGTGTAATTCAGAGTGGTGGGGCTCGGATAAGGGGCAGGGTTAGGGATAGTTCCCTGTAGATACCCTAAGACGCCGCTGCTGCTGGCCGCAATGACAACAAGCGTCTCGAAGGTAGCAAAATTTGTCCCATCGAATTTTTGGTCCTCTGAAAAGGTAGGGGGGTTTGCTGACGACGACATTTTGTGTACGTGGTAAAGTAGGCTCTGTGAGTCGCAAGTAATGTGATAGAGCAGGTATGTGCGTGTCTATATTTCTTCGAGTTAGAGCGCAGCGGGGCCCATAACCTGTTAACGTACGAAGAACTCAGTCAGACACGGATGTGAAACGACTGTATTGCCTTAGCTACCTGTTAACGTACGAAGAACTACGTACGAGTAGCATCAGTAAGAGTATATGAATATAAGTAGCAAAAGCTCACCTCAGTCAGACACGGATGTGAAACGACTGAGGTGAGGGAAAATAAGGTTCTAGTTTATATAGGAAAAATCGGGTGGCTTGAGGTAAAGACTAGCAAATACCGGAAGTAAATGTAAAAGGTGGATAAAGAAAGACGAGATGGAGAAATGAGTAAGCAAAGCGTACGCGTAAACAAAGAGGTCACGAGGGGTCTCCTTCAACAAGAATCCGGCACATTCTGGGAACAGGTAATTAGGTCTGCTGTGGCTCTCGTTAAGGCCAGTCAGTCGCTTTCCCCCAAGGTGGAGGAGAAAGTGACAAATCTGGTCCTCTGCGAATATGCGGAGATTCTTGGGTGTGCTCAGAAGCGGGAAGATGGCCTGTCATTTTTAGAGGGGAAAGGTTTCGTCGGATTTTGCGAGTATTGGATGGCTTTTGCGAAACGGGTACGTTTGTTCCTATCAATCATTGTGATGACACACTCAACACGGACGGCTAGGCTGGGGATATCTCTGCCCTTGAGAGGATTGGAAAGCTGATGCAGCATGAGCTCCCCAAGCCGTCCTCCAGTAAGATCGCCCAACCGGTGGGAAGGACCCAAGCACAAGATGCCGACACCATCACAAAGGAGGCTACTCGGATTTGCGCAGAATTCGCACAGGTTACGACCTTGCTGGAGCAAAGGCCCGTAGAAGATGGTAGGTGGTTTCCTGTTCTTACTCTGCTCGCTCACGACGCTCTCTGCAGACGTGCTAATCAAGCATCTGGAATCATGCACTGCCCTGATAAAGACGTCAGCTTGCCTACAATCTTTACTATTCTCGGAAGACCAAGAACTCGCTCGTATTAGTGGCAAAGTGGATCGAGCATTCGAAAGACTCCGTCGAATGGCCGTCAAGTCACTTGACTCCCTGTCTACAGATACGGAGGTTAAAGCCTTCGTGTTGTCTTGTGTCGACCTTCTCCAAAAGCTTGCAGTTTCCGCAGCGCGGAAATCTGACATCATCACTCACGCGTTGGATTCTCTCTTCGTGCTGGCACGTACAGCTCTCAATGTTGAGGACCCTAGGACGTATGTCCCTGCCTTTGACCATCTCGGGGTTTCGGTATCTATCCTTGATTCTGTGCCTCAGGATGCAGACGTAGACCGTGCGAATTACATGCGTTGCATTTCGGGGACATACTACAACATTTCAGGATCACTCTATCAAGCAACACAATGTGGTGCTGCAGTGCCGTTTCTACGTGAGGCGTGTCTTCTTGGCGCAAAGGCGTTGTCGATGAAAGGGCGCGGGAAAGGGAAAGGCAAGGCGAAGGAAGAGGCAAATCCGGAGACGAAGAGTAAAGTCGACGGAGAAATGGAATGGAATCAGCTGGAAGAGCAGCTTCACCGTCGCTGGGAGTTGCTCGCTGTTTGTTATAGTAAGAATGGGGATCGCAAGGTGATTTCTCTGCCCTTCTGTTGACTACGTGGCTCATATGTTCTTTCTTGAAGAATGCCTACGACGCTTTCCAACAGTGTATATGCACATTTCCGTTTACGTCCTCTGGATTTGAAGGTCAAACGGATGCCAAGAGTGTCGGGGATCTATTCGGAGCATCTGCCAGCTCATCCGTTAAGCAGTTAATGGCCACCATCGACCGAGTAAGTTACATTGGGGCATGCGAGCTGCTTCTGCCGCCAGAAGATGTCTCCCTTCGTTCTCCCCAGCGTTTCGCTGCCTCTGATGACGGCAACCTTGTCATGGACCCTCGGGTCGTCGGAGTCCTTCTGGAGCAGCAGATTGATGGCCTTCAGCCGAGTCAATGGAAAAAGGGCGTACGGGGTGTCTTTGTGAAGCTGTTAAGAGATTCTCTGGAAGTTTATGATGCGGCCTCGTTCCCTATCAGGCGATCCAGAGTTCTGATAAGGTGTATGGCCTTTGCATATCAGGACTCTGGAGATGACTGGGCCGTGATCTTGGGAAATGTGCAGGAGATGGGCAGTGAAGTAGAGCGTCTCTTGACGGCTCAGGTATGGACTTCCCCCCATTCTTCGAGCCTTTCATCATGGACCTGATCTTCCAAACTAGAACTTGGCTCGGGATGTTTCATTAGCTCCTTACCGCCTGCAATACCATGCATCCGCACACCTCTGGCTCGCACTTCACGCTCATAAACGCGCAGACCCGGAGCAAGGCACAGTTATGGCTCAACATGCAGATCAAGCGTGTCAGATTCTGAAAGACCTCCTCGCTCTTGGTCCAGCTGGGAGTCCCAGGGTAGCGAGGAAAGGGCTGAGTACCAAAGTGAGAAAGGTCTCATCCTCGTTAACGCAGATACCAAGAATTGTATCCCCCAAAGCTACCAGGACCACTCGTCAACGCGTACCGGCTGCTCCAAAGAAAGCTGCTCCAGTCAAGAGTAACTCGAGGGTGGCTGCTCGTCCTCCTGTTACTCCCCAGGTCAAGCCAAGGGCTGGTAAGTGTTGATCATATTTTCGGTTAACATGTGCTAATTTGCCTTCTTTTTCATTCTAGCACTTCAGCCGGTTTCACTGAATACTGCGAGAACACCACCTCGACCCTCTTTGGATGCTGCTGCGAAGACGAAGTCACTGTTGACTTTTGATGACTTTGATGAATTTTTAGGGCTGCTCCGTAAGTTCTTTGGTGCCGTTGTTTGCGAGTCACCTAGTCTAATTACTGTTATTCTCAGAACTCACGGCTTGCCTTCTTGGTCTCCTTTGCCTGGTTCTTCCAAAAGTCCATATATTGGACCTCACAAGGAAGTTGTGTGAGCGCCACGCTGGCGTGGCGAGCGATGGTGTGTCTTCCATATCTATACATGTAATCTATTCTTGACGTCTCTCCCGCGTACTTTAGGATACATCTCTGCATCAATTGACCTTGCACATGAGTACGTGAAGATTGGTAAGATGAAGAGGGCGGCCATGATTTTCAATCTGGCATTGGAAGTTGTTAGAAACGGACAAGCCTCGCCGGAGGTATCCTCTGCCTTCTTGTTACGATTTGCGGAGTCACTGGCCTTAATCGAGGATGTGTCTCGAAGGTATGATTGTCCTATTCTTAGTGGTTGCGTTTGTGGCTGAGTTTGAGATGTAGCTCAAGTGTCTATAATGAGGCACTAGATCATTCAAGCAGACTGGATACGGAGGAGAAAGGATTGACCACTCTTCAAAGGATCCATACACGGGTTAAGCGCCTGGAGAGGGCAGCGATGGCTTCGCATATCTTCGGATTGATTCAGTATTGCAAGGTAGTGCCTTTTAATATTCCACTCATCCTTGTTGTCATCAAGCCTATTTAGGAGGACGTTGCTACATCACTGGAAGGCATGCTCCAGTCTCTTCGTTTGTGGAACCGGACTGTGGACACATTAGGACGCCTTAACCCTTCGCCTCAATCCTCCGCTAAACCATCTCCGGAATCCAATCCATTTGAAATGACAAGTATGAAAGAAGCTCTTATGGCTGAACAAACATCCGCTCCAGCACAATCACAACCTACGCCGAACAAGTCATACCCTCCGCGATCTTTCATTCATGATTTGGAGTGGCGGACAGCTGAGGGACTTTTTGCCACCCTGTTCGCGTTGTCGCACATGTACGTGACGCGTGGATCTCCTCGGGAAGCTGAGTACTTTGCACAGCAGGCTCAGGATCTTGCCGAAGCATTGAACGTTCCCACTGTTGTTGGCCGTGCGTTCACTCGGAAGGCAGAGGTTCAGCTTCATCTTGGTCAACTGCAGGAGGCAAATGCGACACTGGAAAAAGCTGCTGCGTTGCTCTCTCACCTGCCAGGCGTTGATACTATTATCGTTCATCGGCTCCGAGCGGAGTGTAATGAGCGAAGCGCTCAGCATGAGGATGCGCAAGAACTTTATCTTTCGACAATGAAAATGCTAGAGGAGCTTGATGGCGCGTTCCAGCAATTCGAGACTTTGGCATTTGGGTACGTGACATTATATCTCTTTCTCCGACACAAAAGACAAACAAAGTTCCTTCGCTTCAGTCCTCGACGATCACTAGGAACATCCCCTCGGACAAAGCTCCTCCCTGACACTGTCGCTCCTGAGCTCCTGGCAGCCGTTCTTCACCAGCATAGTACGTTCGTGTTCATTTTTCGCTAGCTTTTTCTGACAAAAGCAGTCTGGTCACGACGCGATCAGCCAGATTAAGACCTCAATGGCTTGCTTGAGAAGTTCTTGTCCCTGCCATCTTCATCCCGAATGAAGGTAAGAAACCTCGATTTCGTCCCAACGCAAATGTCTGACCCAACTAATTTCGAAGGCGAATGAGAACTCCCTCATGGGCAAACTAACTCTCTACAACGTCTATGCTCGCTTCCGTGCTGATATGTTCCTAAGTTCCCTCACCGAGTCTAGTGAGTTGTTCATTTTCTCGTTTGTTGCAGAAACTTACCAGTACATCGTAGCAATCGCCATTCCCATGGGAATGTCGACTACGCACAAGGTTGCGTTTGCATTACCTACTCAGGATGTTCTGAACGCTCTGGAAGAGGCAGAGAAACTATTTCAAGCAAACTTGTCATTGACTTCTTGGAATGGTAGCGTCCTCAAGCTTCGGGATGCTGCGATCTCATCAGGAAACACTGAATTTATAAGTAGTTTCTCGACGAAATCCATTGCGCCAGTACTTTTTGGTCCTTCGCCGTAGCACGGAGTAGCCACGGTGTGTCTGGGTAGTTGGCCTTGCATGTACAGTTACTGAGTAGTTGTCTGGCAAGTGTCAGTAGTCCCAATAGCTGTCCGGCAAGTGTCAGTAGTCCCCATATCCTTTCACTGGAGACCTGTAGCTTCGGTAGAAGGAATAACCCCCAAGCCAATAAGCAAGATGAGCAAAATAGGGATAAAGTTGAAAAGAAAAAAATGTTATTTTGTGCGGCGACGAGACTTCCGAGAAACATGAAGATCAACTAAATATCGTAGAAGGAAGAAGTCGTGATGGCGAAGGTAGGGATTAATAAAAAAAGTTGGTTGCATCATCAAGAACCGTAGATGATGTCCAAGTATCAGGCATCTTGCGGCCGAATTTTGGAGCAAGGTGGCAGCTCCGTATTATCTTGGCCACAGGAATGACGGATGTGCGCTGACGATGATTGTGAGAGGACCTCGAAATTGTGAACATGTTGGTGTCAAGATCATTGGGGGTGGGTCGCAGGGGTGTGTACCAATGAACGTAGGCGAGGGGGTGGTTGTATTGGCCAAATTCAGTTGGCAATTTGAAGATGACCCGTACCTGAGCAACGCGGAGTCCTAGCGATGGAACAGTCAGTGAGATGAAAGAATTACGTTTGAAGGTTTGGGGCTTACCACTTAAAGGACCACCCGCCACAATGCTTGGGCTCTCTTGAACGAGTACTGTGCTAAATCGACCCGGAACGGCCTGTTTTATGCCTTGCGAAGTTATCATGGCTGGCACCGCTCTGACGGCATGGATGACATCTGGCGTAGGTTTCGAAGTAACTTCAGGAATTGGGGGGAGGACGAATCCGACTTGCTTGTACAGATCAAACGCGGATGCTGCACTCAGCGCAATGTCGCCAACCAGTCGTTCCGTATCGATGAACGACGTAAGGTGCTGTAAGAAATCAGTCGCTCCATAGTCGCTGACAATGGATGTTACCGAAACGTTGTGCAGCGCAGGTTTCTTTGCGATGGTATAACTTTCCACCACTTCATCTCCCGCAGCCACTCTGTTAACGTCGTCCTCTTCTTCATCCTCCTCTTCGTCCTCCTCTTCGTCTTCGTCAACCTCGCTACCGTTCTTCGAGATTTCAGCAGTATAGCCCGGAACGGCCCATTGGAGGTACAGGCAGAAACGTTGGATGGACTCTTGGCGGCGGAGCCATATCGTCATTTGCTTGATGAATTCCTTCTTGTTGGTTGCCTTGTACCCCATTTTCGCAAGATCAATGTGTAGGCGTTCTGTACCTTCTGTGTTGAACCCATCAGCAGTTCCATGTGATCGGATCGCATCGATGTAGTGTTTGATATTGTGAAGTTTGCTGATATTGAAGTGTTTCCGTATTTCGAGATCTTCGAAGATGTGTTTGTTATCGTGGAAGGTGAGCCATGCTGCGTCGAGAAGACCCAAAGATTCGTCAGTATGGGTCTCAAAGTGAGCATAATAGATGAAATCCAAAACGCCGCGCACAGCGCGGATGACAGCCGGGTCGGTGGCACCAGCGAGGACTGTAAGAAAAACCTTCTCCATGTTTTTGTGTTCAGTTCCGGTCCACTGTGTCGTTAACGAGATGCCCCTCTTGAAATGTCGGAGGCTTGGATGAGGGGACATACACTGGAAGCGCGCATCAACTTCACCCTCACCACCTTCAGTGGCTTCCGTCGCCCAACTCGAGATGTGGTCCT